AACCACCTTGTGGACCGCTGAGGCAGAAACACAAAGCATTATACACGTAATACAGCATTCTGTGTGTCAGTTTCCAAACATAATGCCATTTTCCTAGAATAATCCATTTTCATTCTCCAACCAGAAACTGAGCAACGAAAAATTCCAGCAAAAGAACAAAACACCAAAATGGGTGCATTTGGCTCCTAGCCGGCTCCCACAAAGACATCTCTCTGCTCCCTGACCCGCCCCCCCAGCAGCACTGGTGCACCCCCACAAACACGATGCCAACCGAGGAAGAGGAGGTGGAGCACAGCCAGCCCCCACGCCGGTGTGTGGTCAGCAGGGTGCACCCCCTCCCCCAGGGACCGGCAGCAAACCTCCTGCAGGCCAGTGCCGGTCCGTGGACCAGTGGCTGAAAACCTCATCGGACCCCTGGCACCAGCAGCTCTGCTCATGGAATCCCCAACATGTGGTCGTCGTCCGATCTTTCCTTGAATGCCCTCACGGGCTGGATCCCAACCCCCTCCCTTGGAAGCCCATGCCGTATCCCAGGGGCCGGAACTTCCCGATACCCAACCGGAAGCCTGGTCCCGTGCACTTTGCCCCGCCGGAATGCGCCCGTCCTTCCACTGCAGGGAGAACAGGCCCCAGCCTCCTCCGCATGACACCCTCACATGCCCAGGAGTGGCTCCGAGACCCCTTGGAGGCTCCTCTCCTCCAGGCTGGAAAGGCCCAGGTCCTGCCATCGCTGCCCGCCGGGCTGCCCCCCGTGCGACCCTGCGCTGCACCGCTTCCCGCCCAGCCACGTCGCTCCCAGAATGCGGAGCCCAGAGCTGGATGCAGCACTCCAGTTGTGGGTGCGCCAGAGTCACACAGGGTGGCACTGACGGAAGCCGTTGCTCCATGACAGCTCCTCCGGGGCCATTCAGACGGGCAGAGCTGAGGCACCGTCTGCCCTTGAACCACGGGGCTCTATATGCATTTCCAATCTGGATTTAACGGTTCACCAAGAACGGCGCCAGACCAAGGTAAGCATGTCAAGAGTGGAGCCGGCTGGAGCCGGGGGTCAGACTAGATGGCCCGGGAGCCCCTTCCAGCTCGCTCTGTTTCTAGGTGCTCAAGGGGTATTTCCTTGACGCTCCACACAGGCTTCGCTCACTCATTTGCCAGACAATGTGCGGCTCAAAGCGGGACCCCGTGTGCCGGCCTGCAGTGGGGCTCCTGCTCGGGAGCAAGCGCATGGGGAACCTGCTGCCCGTGCGGAGTGCGCGCCCCGTGGATTCCCTGCCCCGCACGCAGCACGGCTCGGGACAGAGACTGCCCAGCGGGTGGGTGGGCGAGCGGAGCCCGGGGCGAGCGTCCGCAGCAGCTCTGAGGCCGCAGACCGTCTGGAAAGATTGGCGAATGCCGCATTTCCTTTGACGAAGAGGCACTCCGTGGATGGGGGTCCCCCCTGGGGGCACAGATCTGTCAGCGGCATTTACTTCCTCTGGTGTTTATCCAAGACTAAGTTCATGGCATTCCAAAATCAAAGCATTTTTCCAGTTATAAGTGGAGTTCATCTCAAACTCTGAAGTTGACTCATTTCAAACGTGTACATTTTTTGCTCATTTCCAGTCTTCTATTTTCCCAGAACAAGCCACTTTCATTTTGGTTTCCCTCGTATAAATATTTCTGCATGCATACTTTGATTGGAGAAGTCCACTGGCAAAATTTGGAGCGGTGTACGTGTGGGTATCGGTTCATATATGGGTCTGACAGTGAGAATTCGGGTGAGTTTGGATTCCCTGGCAAACCAGCTGGTTCCTCCCTTGCTCTTACAGTCCTGAGGTGTTGGGGGGGGGGCAATGAGGTAGCCCCTGAGGTCCCCACGTTCTCTGCCGTGGTGGCGGTTGGTGACATAGGAAGAGACTCCACCGAGCATCCCCTGGGCATGGCAGAAAGGCAGAATTCTCCAGCAGTCTGGAAACCCGGTGAAGAATAATCTCAGGGTATTTCTGGGAAAATTCTGTGCTGGGACTCGCTGCCCCAGTTCTGTGCCTTCCTCCAGTCCACGTCCGCAGAAGTGGCGGTGGCTTCTCCCCTCTGGGGGTTTCCCCGTTGGAAGACGAGCCAAAACCTCCTTTGGCGAAGTTCCCTTGGGGGTTCACAGCCTAGCAGGTTCTGGGGAAGGGACCCCAGGGGGCCGCTGGTCCAGTGGCTCAGCGCATGGCCGGCCCAGTAGAGGCCACCTCTGGGCATCTGCTGGGGCCGCTGTCAAGCTGGGGCCAGCAGCGCCTGGCTGGGGCATTCCTCCTGGGCGCGCGCGTGGAATGCTCTCGCTTTAATCGGGATGCGTGCCTGCAACACCCGCCAGATGTGCCTGGGTGGCCCAGGCTAGTGGGGCTGGTGTGACCCAGGGCACCTGGGGGGCATCGGGGGAGGGTGCTGCCATCAGTCTCCCCCAGCCCCTCCAGCACTTGCCAGCTGAGAAATCGCTTGCTCGGGGGGCGGGGGGGCCTTCGCCTGCGTTCTGCTTGTGTTGCTGGATGCCAAGGCAAACGCAACGGGGGACCCAGCTGCCCAGAGAGGGGGTGGGCGCTCCCACACTGGAGGCATTCCAGGCGAGCCTGGGCAGCCCTCTGGGCGGGATGGTGCCACTTCTGGGGCCGAGGGCCTCCTGCCCCTTCCAGCCCTGCACTGTGACGATTCTCCAGAACGCCTCCCAGCACGGCAGAAAGCGGGACCTTCTCGGTCGGGGGAGACGGTGGTCCTCTTGGCTCCCGCGCTTCTGGGCCAAGGCCAGGCTCGTGCGGGTGGCCCCAGCACAGGAGCGGGCGCACCTGCGGCTTCCCGTTTCTCCTTCCTCGCCCGGCGACTGGACGTGCCAGCACGGCTGCCCAGCCGCCACATGGCTCCTTCACCTTCAAAAGCTATCATTTCGGCCAGGTTTCTGCTATTGTTCCGTCATCCTGCCACGGACAATGAGGCAAAGAGAAGCACAGACGAGGGCAGGTTCCGCTGCCAGCGCCTCCGAGCTTTGATGTTGGGAAGGGAGCTCCTGGCGGGAAAAGGGAGTCATCCTTGTGGAATTTCACAGCGGTGCGTCGGAAACATACTTGGGGACAGGGGCTTCGGACGTGTTGTGGAAACACACTGGGGCTTGTGCGGGAAGCAGATATTTGTGCAAGAGGGGAGCGGAGAGGGGCTGCTCACGTGTGCAGGGGCGTGGGGCGCCCTCGGGGGTGGGAGGAGCACACTCCTGTCACACGCTGGGGCTGGGAGTGGGGGACAGGGACGGGACGGGGCGGGACAAGGCGAGGCATCTCTCTCCGTTCGGTGTTCCCCACCAGCCTGTCCTTCGCGGCTCCGGTGCCTTCAGCTCCAACTCTGCTCCCCAGGGATTAATCAGCAGACAAAGCTCAGCCCCTCTGAGTCATGGGGGCCGTGCTGTTCCTGGCTTGAACTTATCTTAGCCTGGAGAGGTGGAGGGGCTGAACTCTTCCTGCCCCCGCAGGATTCTTCTCCCCCATCTCCTCTTCTTCTCTGGTCTCTGTTTCTCAGCCACTTGGCCTGCCTGTGGCCTCGAAGAGTCTAATTTTGACCATACTGATAAGGGCGATTTAAAATCACTTGGAAAAATCCGTCGGAAACGGTGTCGGAACGCTGTTCCGGTGCGTTCTGTGCCAAAAACAGCCCTGGAGATACGGGACACCACCTCCCTCGGCCCAGGAAGGTCTCAGACTCCAGGGGCCTGCTGCCCACAGCCCCTTCTGGATCAAGCTGCTTGAGCGGACCGGAAGTGTGCAAAGTGTCCCAAACACGGGTTTGCAGGAGTGGCGTCGGAATAAAGACCAGCAGGGAATGGTCCCAGTGGCGGCCACAGCCACCCCCGAGGGAGGTAGCGGACACCGTCTCCCTTCCCTGGACCGCCACGCAAGCCTCGCCCTGCCAGGCTGCCACAAAAAGCGGCCGAAACACCCTCCCCCTTGGGCCGCCTCAGCAATGGCCACTGATGGCGCCTGAAGAAGAGCGGGCGGTCGGAAGAGGCGGCATCAAGCCGCCCTCCCTCCCAATCCTTCGAGGCTCTTCCGTGGGGAGCCCAGGAGGTGCCCGGTGCCTCCCCTCCGAGCTCAGGCCAGCGCCAGCCCTGCTCGGCGGCAACGGGGCGGCGCTGCCCTTGCCAGAAGGGTTTGGATCAGCAAGCAGAGCGAACGCAGCTGCTCGTTCCGAATCGGTCCCCTCCCAAGAGCGGCTCCCTCAGAGGGACTTCGGGGACTCGCAGCTCTCGAGAGCCACCCCCATCGTCCCGGCACTCGACCGGCCCCGAACGACCCATCTGCCCCCGTGCGCTCCGTGCTGGAGGTCTCTTTCCCAGCGCAGGAGAGCAACTCTGGGCCATCGAGAGCCTATGTCCAGCTATTTGCTGGCGCAGAGGAACCCAAAATGAATCTTTACCGACAAGCCGTCAGCCTCTTGGCCAGGCAGCGCCCATCACAGGGCGTCACGGCCATCTTTCTTCAAGTGCAGAGCAGAGCCGGCCGTGAATCTGCTAGCAGTGCCTCCCAAGTGAACGCGAGAAGCAGGAAGGGAGGCCAAGGCCGAGCGCAGCGGGGCCCCTGAAGAGGATGGTTCCCGCATCGGAGTGACCATCCATTGAAGTCATTGGCAAGACTCGTATTTGTTTCAAAGCTGAACCGAAACAGGGGCGCCACGAAGAGCTGAGCACTGTTCCGAGCTGCGCCGGGTCCTTCCGCGCCTCTGCAGGGGGAATCTGGCCAAGCCGGAGCGGCGAGTCCCCGGAGGGCAACGGTGTGGGGTCCGGGCAGCAGCCAGGGAACCCGCCGGGGCGGAGCCGCAGGTGTCCCAGGGCGGGTCGAGATCTGCACCCGCCTTTTACGAGTGAGGACCGTCTCCCAGCTTGCCGGCGCTGCAGGGGGGCTGCACTCGCCGAAGCCCCTGGCCGAGCCGCACCTGCGTCGGCACCCAAGCGCACCCGGCTGGCCCGCTGCCGACTGAGACGGTCCTGGAGCACCCACCTGTCTCCACGTTGAACGTGAGCTTGTCCACGCCTTCCTCGTACGGCCGCCCAGAGAAATGGAGCGTGATCCGGAAGGGCTGCCCCCGGCGTACGATCAGCTGCTGGGACCCCATCTCGGACGTCCGGTGGGCCTGGTTGTTGTGCTCGCACTCCAGGTCCCATGTTTCGAGCTGCAGATCTGCAAGAGTGAGAGCAAAGCGAGGGTTTTGCACAGGGAGGAGCGGAGGGGTGTGAAGGGCGCCTGCGGAGCTGGGCTCCCCCGCCTTGCAAGCTCCCGGACGCTCCAAGAAGGACCGTCGCGCGTCCCTCGTGCCATGGCAGAGCACACGAACTGGGAAGGCGCAGCAAGAAGGGAGGTTGTGGCCAAGGGCCGCTTTGCATCGGGGCAAATTTGAGGCTCACACAGAGCAGCCTGCCTGCCTGCCTGCCGCGTGGGATGCCGCGGGCAGAACGACCGCGCCGCCTTTGGTCTCACCAGCACGTCAGGGGCCCAGAGGCCATCCCATCCCAGGGGATGAGGAGGGATGAAGAGGCGGGAAGAGGAACGGAGCCCACAGGGGACCCAGTGCCACGTTTCACCCGGCTGAGATGCTCTTCCAGTCTGGCACGGAGCTGACGAAAAGCGGGTCTCAACCGGCGCGGAAAGCAGGGCTGTGCACGAGCCCCGTTTCTGCGTCTGTTCACACGCAGCACGAGGGGAAAGGTGTCAAGGGAAGAGTTCCCCCTGCTCTGAGCAGCCCCTCTCCGCTGGGAATGGTGCCCCCGCTGAGGCCTCGTCCAAACCGAGAGGCGCCTGGCGCTCGTGACACCAGATGCTGGTGGGGTCCCAGCACCGCTCGTGGCCCAGCACCTCGATCCCACCCAGTGCCGGGAGGGCCTCCCGGGTCCCGCGCGCTTTGTGTGCCCGGCAGGGGTGGCGAGTGGCTTGCCCTGCGACTCCCCCACCCCTCATCGGCGGCGATGCCACGGGGGCTCACGGGGGTGGTGGGCAGGGCCACCCAGAGGGCCACACCTTGTGGTCCCTCAGTTACGCCGGCTGATCCTGCGTAACACAACGCGCCACGTCCCGACTGAGGGCAGGTTCATCCCGGAGCACGGATCGTGGACTGGGGGGGGGCACAGCCACGCTTACAAACGACTGCAACTCACACCGCCCAGGAAGATCTCCTGTGGTTTATGGCCAAGTTGTGCCCTAGGAGTGATCCGTGGTCTGCCTGTGCGGTTTGGTTGGCATGGCCCAACAACCCGCGATTCAGCGGGAGCCCACACACAACCTGCGCTGCGGCTTGTCGCGTGTGCAAACCAGGCCACCCTCTGCAGCACTCCGTGCCTGGAGCCTGGCGCTGACACCCTTGCGGTGCAAATGGGGGGTCGGAGGGCGCGGCGATGCTTCAGCCACCCGCCTAGAGGATGTCCTGGGTGCGCAACTCGGCCTCGGATGGAAGGCGTGCAGGCACGGAGCCACACCGGAACGAGGCCGAAGGCCAGGAAGCGCCAGCGAGGGGCTCGCGCGTGCGCAGTCTGATCCTGAGAGGAGGGGAAGATGGGAGCGCCGGGACTGGACCACCGCCCAGGTGCGAGTGCTCACTTGGAAGCCCTGGGGCCAAATCCTGTTTTAAAGCAGTCTGCGGGGAGGGGAAGAGACATTTTTTCTTGATCACTAATCCGCAGATTTCCTGATCGGGGACTTTTTTCTGGGATGCAGCCCAGTTACTGAAATGTGTTCCAGGGATGAGCGCAAGCTTTGCTGTGAGGGTGGGGGGGGGGCAGCCGGGGAGGGGTCCACAGTGGCGCTGCTCCCATTCATCTAGGAGAGCACAGACACGTGGAACGGAGGGGTAGGGGTGCCTCCACGGAAGTGCCCTCGCCTCCGGCCCATCGGTCAACTCCACGAGCAAAGTGCCCGCCGCATCGCTTGGAAATCTTCCGGAAAAGCTTCCCACCAGCTCGAGGGAGGCTGTGGAACCCCCATCCATGGAAGACCTCGAGCCGCGGTGGGGCAAGCACCTGCCTGGGACGCCACATTTTCTGGTGGCTCCCACCGGAAGCAGAAGGACCGGGCACCTTTCCAGTTCTCTGCCAAGCACGACGGCACTTGGGCGCAGGCAGCCAAACTGCCCATTGCACACCGAGCCACAGGCCGGATTCTCTTTGCTGAAACCCGCCTCCCGAGAGCGGTGAGATTCAGCAGATGCGTGGCAGATGCGCCCGCCATGGAACTGTGCGCGCGCACCTGGGCGCACGTGCTGCATCGCCCGGGGTTGTTGAGGGAAGGAAGAGGCACTTAAACCTTTTTCCAGAGAATTTCCGCTCCTTCCGAGCCCCTCAGAGTCCACTTGGCTGCAGCGCCCGTGGCTGGACGGCGGGACCCCTTTGAAAGCGAGCCCTCCCCTTCTCGCTGGCCGCTGGCCCAGGATTAATCACCCTGTTGTTATTGTTCCCGTACGTGGTTCGCCTTGCACATGAACTGCGCTCGGTCGCCTCTTCACCTTCCTTCGGGATGAAGCAACAGGCCACGGCCCCTCACCGCCCGCTCCCTTGCCAAGACGCCGAGGATCCTGGACTCGCCCGGCCTCTCTGCACAGCCTCCCCGCCACTGCTGGGATGCCCACCATTTTCAAACCCGCTTCTGCCATTTTAAAAGGTGTGCACGAGGCGAACGACAACACTTGTGCCGGAGCAGCGGGTGCCTCGGGGCATGTGCCGTGAGCAGGACGTGGGGCGCGAGACATGCTGCCCCCATCCAGCCGCGGTTTGGAGGCGGGTCGCCACTCCTCCCGTCCTTCCACACAGAGGCCGCCGACACGTCGACCGCCACTGCTGCAGCTGCCCCAGCAGCTCTCCCCTGAGCGGCTCGTGGAGCAACGGCACGGAAAGGTGGGCCAGTCCCCACGAGCCCAGGGCGCCCCGTGGCCCCCCAGCTCCGGCGGAGGGAAAGCGAGCTGGAGGGGCTCGCACGATGGCGTGGGTGCAGTCTCCCTCCCTCACCAGATCCGGGGGCGGAGAGCGCTGCAGCCCCAGGAGAGCGGACCCCCTCCCAGCCCTGCACAGAGCGCCGCAGTGGCTCCTCTGCCGGAAACTGGGCTGGCGGACGGGGCAGGAGGGCACCAGGAGCACGGCAAGACCCTGCTAAAAGCTGCCAGCTGGGAAATGGGCCGCCCGAGTTGGCGGGCAGTGGAGATGAAGGTCAGGCAACTGGCACGCCCAACATGCGTCCAAAAAACCCAGAGTTTTGCAACCCCCCCACAAGGAATGCCTAGACGTCGCTCCCCAGGCCTCTCCGGCATTCGCACCAGACACAACTCTGGCTGGGCTGGGCTGGGCTTGGAGGACGCCTGCCCACGGGTCTCGACCAAGGAGGCACTCCTGCAGGTACCCGGCCCCTGGCCCAGGCGGGGGGCAGCCCTTCTGCGCACTCAGGCATGCCCCGTGCCGCACGGGATGCCAGGGAGACGCGGGGCCCTGCCCTGCCCTGCCCAGCCTTGGCTGCCTGCTGGGTGACTCAGGCTGAGTCTCCCCACGGAAGGCTCCTTCCTTCCTTCCTTCCTTCCTTCCTTCCTTCCTTCCTTCCTTCCTTCCTCGTGAACTTTTCACACTGGCCCTTGACCGGCCCCTCCGGGCAGGCAGCGTGGGGAGGGCAAGCCAGCAGAGGGGCAGGAGGGCCGTGTGGGCAGAATCCGCCTGCCCTGCCAGCCCTGGGACTCGCCGGGGGCGGGAGCCAGGCTGGTGGCGAGGGAGGGGGCGCTCACAGCTGGAGGGACCACGCGGCATTGTTCCGGCGCAGCAGACGATCTGACAGCCTGGTTCGTGTCCCGTGAAGCTGAAACAGCAGGCGGCCACCACCACGTGCCCTTCTGTCGGACAGGGACAAACGGCTCACGGCCGAGATTAAGGATGCGTCCCAAATGACCCTCGTCTGCATTTCTCTCCACGTTGGCGCCGCATTCCCTGGCCCTGTTTCCAAGCAGAGTCAACTCATGTGGAATTCTCTGCGGCTCCATTTGTGTTTATCTCGGTCTCATGTGAAGCTTTGTGCTTCTGCATGCAAGAAATGCAGCAGAAAAGGAAACTTAATGTGACGGTCCATCTGCCAGTGGGAGCAAAGACTTTTTGCTGGATGTTCCATTTAGATGCCAGGAAGCACTTTCTGACAATTGGGACCCCGAGGGTGTGGAACAGGCTTCCCCGGGAGGTGGTTGAGGCCCCACCGGTGGGGGTGTTCAAGGACAGGTTAGACATGCACATGGTGGGCATGTTGTGAGTGTAGCCAGCTGGAGCCAGGGGTCAGACTAGATGGCCCAGGAGGCCCCTTCCGACTCGCTCTGTTTCTATGTTTCATCAGCATTCCAGAGCCAGTTATGCGCTTGCTGGTAAAAGGTCCCCAGAAATGGTGCCATTGCAGCGACGCAAGAATTCACGCAGGACAGCTGCTCTGCACTGTCTCCTTCGGTGATGAAGCCGAGGGTGCGGGGCAGAGACATGTCTGGGCAGGAGGAACGGCGCATTGCTCCCTGCTCTGCATACTTTGGATCCAGAAAGACCGTCAGGAATTCCTCTGGTTAGACCAGACTCTGGAGGCCTGGAATGCAGGATGGACAGAGCAGCAGCGAGTGGGGAGTCAGCTGCCTCTCCCTGGGAGCGGGCAGGGCTGCGAGGGTCCGCGCAGAGACCTGCTGCTGGAGGAGGTCTGTATGCGCCTGCACCGGCATGAATTCTGACCCACACACGGTGGTGCTGCGTCTCACTGCGTCCCACACGAGCACCAGAAGAGCTGCGCTGGATCAGGCCACGCACCCCCGGAGTCCAACAGCGCATTCCCGCAGTGAGCGACCGCTGCCCGGATCAGCAGCACCCCGGAGGGGATGGCCTCGCTCGCTCCTCCCCGCGGCAGCCCCGCTGCCCTCTGAGGGGGCTGCTCAGAGACCCAGCTGGGTGTGGTGAGCCGGTGGAGGGAGGAGGGAGGCCCCCCAAATTGGGCAGAGGAGCTTCAGGAGCAGAACCCTCGCCTGGGGGCCCTTCCTGCGTCAGGAGGCAGGTCCTGGGCCCGTGCGGGGGGGCGTGCTGGCCACCCTGCCTCTGCGGTGAGGACCCCCGGCAGCCTCTTCTCCCAGGCATCTGCCTCGCCCCCTTGGGAGCTGCCGAAGGGGTGCTCCTCCCCGCATTCTGGATGCTTGTCCTTTGCCCCCTTGGCTTGCGGCTCCCAACAGGGAGGGGGCGCCCGGCTGGGGCCCTTTTCGGAAGACGCAGCAGAGAGGTTCTCCTCCCCCCGCAGAGCGGGGCCACAGTCTGGGTCACTCCCAGGTCCATTTGCCGCGGGAGGGCTTGGGGCCGGGAGGATCACCGTGCAGCTTAAGCCGTGATGCTGGCGGCATTCCTCCCGGGACAGCGATAGCCTTGTGACAGGACGATGGCCCACCCTCTGGGAACCTGCCATCCAGACTGCTGCAACCTGTCAGCCCCGGGGCGCTTCAGCTGCTGCAGCTGGCCCGGACTGGGATGAGGCAACGGAGCGGACCACGCCGTTCCCGCTTTCTCCCTCCACAGGGGCCGCCAGTCCCTTTCTGGACTGAATCAACGTGCTAGCGCAAAATCCTTATTTGATCTTCCACAGAGAAGATCACGTGCTACCTGCATTTATGGTTTTTCCAGTGCCAGATGAAGGCCTTTTTATTCTACAACATATTTTTGGGAACTGCTTCAAGGGCTTTTAGTATTTTCTTTCGCTGGGGATTTTAACTGAGTTTTTATGCGCTGGAGGAATTTTGTTCTTGGCTGCTGTTTTGATCTTGTTTTATTCTCTGGCCTATTTTTATTCGTCACTTTAATGTTTGCAGTTTAAGTTTTGAAGGTATTCTGCACTGCTCAGGGAACATCATTTCTCGCATGGTTCAAAGGCACAGTGAATTAAATATATAAACAAGTAAACTAGAATCACCTTGACCATTGGTTGGGACCGATTTATAAAATCTGCCGCTGAAAGTGTAGCGAAGGCATTTACCCGAGATGGTTTTTCAAAGGCCAAATCCAGGGAAGGGGCGGGAGCTGGAAGAGCTGCTGGCCAGGATGGCTCCTGGGGACCCCAATTTCAGGTAGCCCCTATATCTGTCTGGGAGGTGGGGTCTGTGGGGAGCGAAGGTGGTGAATCCCAGCGTCGTTCTCTGGAGAGCGGAGTCCTCATGCAAGGACCCCACAGCCCAGGCGCCGGCAGGCCTCCCCTTCAGGTGGGGGCGGGGGCACAAGACCCCAGCTGCTTTTCCTCCCACGGCCGACTGGAGGGATGGAGGAACAGAGACCACCCCAGCCCTCGCCTTGCGCCCCGTCTCCCGCACGTCTCCCTGGACTCCCCCCTCCTCCGACTCCTTCGGGATCTTGGCGTCCCCACGCTGGACAGGATGCCTTTCCCGGGCTGTCCCGGATCCTCATCAGCAGGAACCTGTGGCATGAACCTCAGACCTGGCTGAGCGGCCCTTCAAGTGATAAGAACGCAAGGGGGGCCGTTGGAGGGAGGCTGGGGCTGCTCCACTTTGGTGCTCTGCCCTGCTGTTCTGGGGCACGCGTGCGGCCCCCCCTGCCCCACGGAGGTCTAGCACTTCTCCAGGAAGCCCCGAAGCAAGCAGTGTCTCTCGTTCCACTCCCCCCAGAGCATTTGTTTGCGTCCAGCGATCCCCCGCAGTGCCAAATCTCCGATCCCGGGCAGGAGGGAATCGGAGGGGTGCAGAGAATCAGCGGGGCGTAGACACCCTGGCGAGGACCCCGCTGCACGGTGCTGGGCCAGCTGCCCACTGAAAGCCCGCCACCAGCAGGACACGTGTGCACAGCACCATTCCACCCATGTTCCTCAGCAACTGGTGCGCTCGGGCACGCTGGCCCCGACACTGGAGGCCGCCTGCAGCCCTCGGGGCGGCCCTTTCTTCCACGGGTGCCCGTGCCCCATTAAAGCCCCCCAAAAGGGTGGCCCTCAGTGCGCAGGCCGCAGAGGGACCCAGGCTTCGTCAGTGGTGGCCGGTCGGGCGGCCATGAACTGTGCCTTCCACCCGTCGGTGGGCTGGTCCTGCCCACGCCGCCCAGCAGCCCCCGGGGGCTGCCCGGATTCCAGCCTGGCTGGGCACTTCATGGGCTCACGACTCCATGGACCTCTCCTGGCATTCCTCTTCTAGTCTTCTCCCCAAATGAAAAAGCTGTTCTTTACTTTGTGGGAAAGGAGAGCGGTCTCGCCAAGCGGCTCTGCAGGACTTTCGGTCAGAGCCGAATGGCAGCACCGCTCTGGAAAGTTTTGATTTGATTTGTTTGCCAGGGGCAGAGGTCTTGCAAAGCCCGTGCGATCTGCAGGAGAGCGGCACGGAGTTTGCAAGGTCTCTGGAAAAGGGGTCGGCCCGGATGTTCCTCGCTGAAGCAGCTCTTTGCTTTGTGTGACTCTGGCTCTGCAGAGCAGATAATGAGCTTTTAAGGGTCAAACCCAAGGCTAGAAAGAGAATGCATTTTCTGTATTTCCTTGGCCCGTGAGGGAAAAGTGTAGAAAAGATGGGGCTCAAACAGAAGAATTTCATTTCAGGGAGGCTCATGCAGAGCTTTCCATCAGGTTATGCCCTTCTCAATCTGAGTTGTGCAAGAAAGGCAAAATGCACGAATTTAATAGCTGCCCCATTATTTTACAAGTGTTCATTTCAACATCCTTTTCCTCCGCCCACCCGCTTTTTGCATCTTTGGTATTTTATCCTTTTTCCTTAAAAGCACAAATTATTACAGACAGTTTGGTTTGGAGAACACCTACCAAAAATGTTACCACGTCAGAAATTTTTTCCTTCCCTCCACCCCAAAAAACCTGTTTTTGAGTTTGTTTCACTCAGCTTTCCAATCAAGAGTTTTTCTTTCTGTTTGCATCTGAAGTAATTTGAGTAAAACTGGTTGGCTTGTTTAGACTAAGAGTGGAGTTAAGTGCAGCTTATTTTTACAATGCTGTTTTAAAGGAACTTTGCCATTTATAGAGAGAATGTGAGTGAGTCCATGGAACATGGTTGCCAGTCTCCTGGGTTTCATGCAGAATGAGTCACACACCCACACACACACACACACACACACTTGGACAAATGGTGCACGCGTTCCTTTGCACAGTTCATATTTAACTAGCGGAAGCTTTCAGGAGAGCGCAGTGGGGCGGGGGCCGCCGGCTCTCCCTCGGGTCTTACCTTCAGCCATGGCGGCACCCCCAGGGTCCCTGGATCTCTGCCTCGGTTCGCCTCCGGTCGGTCGGTCGGTCGCTGCCCGTCGGCTACGAGCAAGGAGCAGCCAGCTCACCTCCCCGGTTGTGACCACTTATATAGTCATCTGCAGCACACACCCCTTCGCTGGGTGGATTTATCAGGCGGTGAAAGCAAAAGTCGGCGACCGAGGAAGGCAGCCCTTCCCAAGGGGGTACGGGAAGAACTCCTCTTGACACTGAAATCAAATGAGCAGCAGCCAGCTGGTCATGTCAAAATCAACAGTGGGGAGGGAAAAGGAAAGGGAGAGAGCCCCCTCTAGCTGGCTGATTTGGCCGGATAGTTTTCCTGTGCAGGACTTTCGATATGGACTTATCAGTTCCCCACACGCAGTTGTTGATTCTTTATGGGACTTTCCACGAGCTTTTTAAAGCACTTTTCTGCACAAGGAAATGTGCTCATGATTGCTTAACTGTGGCTCTTGACAGGTTCCTTGGATGCTTTTGTGATCCTCCAGTTTTGCTTCTAGTTTTGCTTTTCAGACCAGCTCCCTGATTTTTATTTTAGAATGGGAAAATTCAATATTATTTCTGAATATTCTGTTTCTGCACATGTGTTTGCACTATTCTGCTAGAGCGTCGCTTCACTAGAGGTTATGCAGTGGAAAAATAGGAAAGCACATGGTCTTTGTGGACGGCTTGGAAAATAATCCTGGGCCAGAAAAGTTCACACAATGGTTAACAGCCTCTTCTTGACACATTTAACTATGACGGCGAAAGAGCGTGCTTTTTTCTCTTGCGCGCATTGCTCTCCGAGTTCGCCACACTGCCACCTAAAGGCTATGCAGTCGGAAAGCTGGAAAACTTTACTTCTTGGAGGGAGCTCACATCTCAATGTCATGGAAAAACTGAAAGTAGAAACAATGAATTAAAAAGCCAGTTAAGAGCTTTTCTACCTGAGGCTGTTCATTATGAGTTAATTCACTGTAACAGCTTTCGATTTCATCACAGAACTGAGAATTGAGCACCGCACGGGTGTGTTTCTTGTCTTGCTTTCCTAGAACCTCTGTAGTATGGCTGTATTTATTTATTTATTACATTTATATAGCCCCCAGGCGCTCTGCCTGGCTTACGAATATTGAAATACTAAAACCTCGAGGTGGCACCGTGGTGTAAACGACCCAGAGAGCTTCACTATGGGGAGGCATAGAAATGAAAATAGGGATAGTGGTAACAAGAGCATTTCCTTGCTCTGGGAAAACAGAAGTGCCGGTCAGGCACAGAAGCGAGAGGGGAGGGCCACCGCGCCCGCCATGAACGCCAGGGAGGATGTGACCGGGGCTGTCCGAGTGCCCCCTCTCCCCCAGCGGGGACTCAGGATTCCCGGAGGCCGGGGGCAGGCGGGGCGGCAGCCCCATCCTCCTCGTGGGTTGCCGGTTGGCCCTCGAGGGGCCCCCAAGGGGCCCTGGCCCGGCGCAGCAGCACCCCTGCATCCTCACCGTGCACTCCATGCGGCAGAGCTGGCTGGCCGGCACGAACCGGCTCTGGGGTTGCCTCCAGAGCCGCCCCCCGCCCCCTGGGGCTCCGACCCCCTCAACCGCTGCCAGGCGGGGAGGGTGCAGGGGACACGGCCGCCCCGAGGGCAGGAAGCGGTGCTCCTCGCCGCGGCCTCTGCCTTCTGCGGTGCTTCCCCGTGAAGCAGCCTGGCCGGGAAGCGCCCCCTCGCCTGCATGGTGCAGGCTGAGCCGCTCGCTGCGCCCCCGACCTCGCTCATCTGCGCCCGTGTCCCATCGCAGGCCTCTTCCTTGCCGCCCCACCTGGCCACGGGGGCGTCTGCCCAGACGAGAGGCGTGTGGGAAACGGGGGTGCCCTGCCCGGAGGGAGCCTCGACCCCCACCCCCTCGTGCCACTGGAGCATGTCGTCCGCGGTCTGTGCTCCTCATGCTGCGCCCCAAAGTCTCTGCTCTCTGAAGTGCCCCGCACCCCCCTGCACCGCACAGCCAGAACGTCGTCCCAGCAAGCGCAGCAACCGGAAGAGCCAATCCTGCCCACGCACTCAGGCTTCCTGTCTGGCCGCCAGCTCAGGGGTGGAGGCCGCCGTGGGGGGAGGCCGGCCATGTCCCCAGGGCTCTGCGCGGGCCTCGTCCCCCCCACGGGACCAGAGCTGCGCCTGTCGGGGTTTCCTCTGCCGCTCCCTCCCCTGCCCAGCCAGGCAGAGTCGGGCAGCCGCTGAGAGGCACGCGAGGGGGCAGGGAGGGAACGAGCCCCCGGATGCGCCCGAGCCCCTGGTCCTGAGCCATGCACGGGGCCAATTCTCCTTCCAAGCCCTCCTCTGGGCACAGCCTTGGCAGAGGGCTTCTCTGACCCGCCCCTGGGCACACGATTAGGGCGCCTGGCGAGGGGCCGGTCCCCGCCCCAGCAGCCCCCCGGCGTGCCCCTGCCTGGTCCTTCACCGAACAGAGGCCAGTGGTCCGGGGGAACAGTGCCTGGTGCCCGGCCCAGCCTCAGGCTAAAGGACCGCACGGTCACGGGGCCAGGGGCTTTTCCCTTGGTGGCACCACGATGACAGCAAAGCACGGGGGTTCCTGTCACGAACCCGGAGCAGTCTGTGGCCGTCTCTGACCAAAAGCGCCGCAGAGAGAGGGACCCAAAATAAAGCGTGGGCGGGGGGCGTCGCTTGCACCTCCGCTGTGCATGTCACCGCAAGGCAGTCCAGGGGTCTGACGAAGCAGCCGCTGCCTCGGAGGCCTGCGGGGGGGGGGCAGCGCAGATCACCGGCCCACGGGTGGACGCTGCGCCTGCCCGGATGAAGCCCTCTGGCCGGCGAGACGCAGGCGGACCTCGTGGCTGCAGGCGTGCGTGCGCCCGGTGGCCGGAGCGCGGATCCACGCGTGCCTCACATGCGCTCCGTCCACGCGCTATGTCCAGGCCACCGATCCGGCCACCTGGACAAAGCATCAGAGAGAAGCGGGGAGGAGGAGGCTGCGGGCGCCCCCCCCCCCGTCCCTGGCCCCATCCTCCTCAAGGTGCGGTGGCACTCCCGGAGTGGCAGCTTGCCTGTTTCCTCCAGCAACAGCCGTGAGAGGAGCTTTGGGACTCTGAAGACCCCGACGCCCACCAGATACAAGCGAGGCCAAAGTCTCTGAGCAACCCCCACTATGGGGCGCACCCAGCACGCGCTTCCACTGCCCAGCCGATCCCCGGCATCCCAGGGAAGCAGTTTCGAAGCGCACCTCTTGCCACGGGTCTGGCAAGAACGTTTCTCTGAGCGATGGCCCCTCAGCAAAACAGGAGAGGTTGGGTGCGGCCCCTGGACTCTCCGAAAATAATGCTGGAAGGGGCCGAGGAAGGGGCCGAGGAGGCCCTCGTGTCCAACTCCCTCCTCAGGGCGAGACTCCCGGGTAAAGCCGCCCTGACGCAGCGCCGTCCCGCTGCGTCTTGAAGGCCCCCGGGTGGGAGAGCCACCCCCTCCCTGGGTCTTTCGTTCCACTGCTGCACCGCTCTAGCGGTCAGGACCGTCTCCCTGCGGTCCAGCTGGGACCTGCTCCCTGGAAACCGTGTCCTGCACTCTGGGATGATCCGGAAGGGATCTCGGCCTTCCTCTCCAGGGCAGCCTTTCGGGGGCTGGCCGGGGGCTGCGCTGGCCCCCCTCGGCTTCCCCCCTCAGGCTGGCCGTGCCTGGCTCTTCCCCGCCCTCCTCACAGGGCTCTGCCTCCAGTCCCACACCACCTGTGTTGCCCTCTTCTCCTGCCACACAGACTGCCTTGAAAGTGAGCCCTCGAAAAAAGGCGTCTTGATAAGCCCTCGGTGAACAAGTAATAACAGGTTTAGCTAATGTAACACTTTTACTGCAATATTTTCCTTTTGGACTTTTGTTCCTCCCCTTGATCCCATTCAGTGGACTTGGCCGTTTTCGCCCTTTCCTGAGCCTCCAGGTCCTCAAAAATATGGAAAGTGCAAACCTCCCAATTAGTTTTGACAGAAGAAGCCAAAGCTCAGGCTTCTGTTCAAAGCGGGGTTTTGACAGGACGAGGCTGTTTCCCCCCCACAGGGGAGCACAAGACACGCATGCTTTCTCTCGACGGATCACATTTTGACAGCTGTCAGGGTAGAGCCAAGCCAAGCAACAAGGTAAGCTGGGCCAGCCTTCGCCTCTCAGTGGTTCCGGACGGCGCTTCCTGCGCTTTGACAGGGGACATGATCCGAGACGTTGGCAAGACAAAGCTTTTCTTCTCAGACCTTCCTGAGCATGCAGGAATGCGCTTATAAAAGACGTGGATTAAAAAGCAAGTGCTCAGATTTCAAGATCAATTTTTTTTTAAAGAAAACACCACTGCAGGATCCTGTTGGCCTTGATCAAGACGAAATGGGCAGCCTGCCCTCTGTGCCCTGGGCGCCGCTGCCGGGCGCTCCGCAATCCTCCCATTAGCCCCACTCTTCCCTGGCAGACCCACGACCGGCGGCAGCGGCTGGTGCTTGCGGGGGGGGGGGGCACCCCGTGAGGCCTTTCCCAGGGCTGCATGCCTGCATGACCTGCCTGCTCTGGAGCCCTGCTCTGGAGCCCTGCATTTAACGCTTCTGCCAGGACTGGCTTTTTGATCTGGATCAAAGCCACGGAGAAGGCAAGGATATGAACTGCCCCCCCCCCGCACCCCCAGAACTGTTCATTGCTTGCAGGCTTTTTTTAAGATCTAGAAAGCTGCTCTGGGAAACAGCACAGTGGAAAGAAGATTCAGACCCAGTCTCCCTGGTCCAAGTCCAACGCACACGCTTCCTCGAACACGGACCAAAATCCACGGATGGGGAGGACCCGGGTGTCAGGCCGCCAGCCAGCTGGGCTGCTCTGCCGGGCCTTCCCAGGGGAATGGGGGCAGCCGGGGGTTCGCCACAGGAAAGCCCCCACGTGGTGGGACGAGGGTCCTTCTAGCCCGGCTTTGCGACAGCCCCAGCGCACCCTGGCAGCCCCATGTTTTGCTCTCCGCTTTGCAATATTGCCAGGCGAGCACGGCTTTTGCTTGCCAGCGAATTTGCTCTCCAGCCATGACTTGGACGGCCTTCCCCCATGGCATCAGCCGGCCACACACCGGCCGAGTGTGGCAGCCAGCAAGGAGGGCGAAATTGGCCCCGTGAGCTGGCTCCAGGAGGCCTCTTGCTGTGCCTCAGAGGCGCACAGGCCACGTGGGGCCAGTTCCTGGGGCCCGAGGAGGCGGTACGGGGCGGGCAGCGCTGCGTCCCCGTGACGGCCTGCTGGACTTGCCTG